CAAGAATGTTCCCAGAATGAAACCAGTTCCCAGGCTCAGCCAGTTCACACCGATGGATTTTCTTAGGGCGGTGCCAGTCCCCTCCGCTTACCTCTTCCTCGCTCCTCTGGAGATGAGAGCACATTCTTTACTCCCCTCCCACCATCCCAGTCCATCACAGCACAGTCCTGATTGCATCATTTCCCACTTAGTGACCACTTCGCTTAACAACAGAGTTGCTGGTCCCAATTGTAGTTGCTGAATGAGGACTACCCATACTAAACTATTACTGTTTAGTAGTATGGATGATCCATACCAAGATGGATAAAATTGCCAAGATGTAGATTCTTATTACTACTAATCTGGGATTTATACATTTTATTTATTAGTAGAACTGCAGTGAGAATAAAAGGGCAGTATTTGAGGCAAAAATTATTTATTGGCTCTGTGTAAATATGAGCTGATTTTAAATGCAATGCAATTCAGTAATTTAAAATTAAGGTTAAAAATATTTTTAAAATTTAAAGAAACAATGCTCCTAAAGAAAAAAAAATCTTTTGTGAGCACTAACTATTCAAACAATAATAGTTTTTTAGAGAATAAATGACCATTTGATGTGAAAAACACCAACCAACACCCTGTAAACCATAATATGCCTCTCTCACATGGAGAATGCAATATAAAAATTTGATTAAAGAGCAATTTCACTTCAGCTCTTGAAGGTCTGTAAGATGTTAACCTACTTTTCAGTGATAAACAGTTGAAAAGTAGCAAATTCAAAATTTGTAGTAAAGAGAAAGAATACAGAAAATGAAAGGAGTGTACGGAATTTCAGATCACTGTACTTTCCAATGCTGAAAAACATGCAAAACTGACATGGTTATTTAGAGGAAGCTGATTACATAATTTCTCTTGATTGACAATCAACTTTTTAGCAGCAGGCTAAATCTATAGGAAAGAATCCCATGTTTAGACAGAACAATGTGTTCATACTCATTAAACTGCCTGGCCACGTGGGCCCACACTTTATTAAAGTACTGCCTACAATTCATACTAACGGGAGCAACATACCTAACAAGATTTGAGATGCTTTTGCTATTTAGCAGTAGATGATGGAAAAGTGCAGCAAATGCAGGAGAGGCAATACATGTAGTCCTTGACTTTTGACCACAATTGGGACCAGAATTTCCATTGCTAAGTGATGCAGTCATTAGACAAAACATCACATGGCCACACTCCTTAGCAACGGAAGTTCCAGTAGTCTTAGTTGCGGTTGTTAGGCCAGGCCAGCACCATTGTTAGGCGAGTACCTCATATTTCTCCTGCCCTGCCATACTTGCCTTCCCTTCAATTCCCCCCAGCCACCTATCTTCCCTTCCAATCTCTGCCCTTTTGGGTGCCCTGCACAGCAGCATTTTTTGGCAGCAGCAGCAGCGCTGGGGCTGAATTAGAGGCCCGGAGCCTTCAGCAATCTCAGCCAGCCGTCACTGTCCCCAGGCCTCTACTTCAGTCCCAGTGCAGCCAGCACTGCTGCTGAGGTGTGCTGCCTCAAGCCCTGCGTCATGGACAGCTACTCTAGCACCACAGCACAAAGCCCCAATTACCCCACCACCCTGCACTCCGCAGGCCCTACCATACCCAGGTGACCTTCACTGTTTTCCTCCCTGCTTATGAGAAACGCCCAGCCTTATGCAAGGCAGCTGCTGGCCGCACCAGCCCTTCTTCCCAAAGCCACTTACGCTGTTCTCCAAATTGCATGCCCCATTCCTGCACTACTTTGGAAAACCTTTGGAAAGATTCTGAAGTCTTCCAAGGCATCACAAGAATGGGGCGCATGATTTTCAGGGCAGTGGGAGCTTTGCACTGAGGTGCTGGAGTAGTCATGGCACGGGCTTGAAGCGGCACTCCTCAGCAGCAGTGCTGGCTGCACTGGGACTGAAGTAAAGCCCTGGGGATGGTGGTGGCTGTCTGAGACTGCTGAAGGCCCTGGGCCTCTAATTCAGCCTCAGCGCTGCCACCAAGGAATGCCACTGTACAGGGCACCCAAAAGGGTGGAGATGGGAGGGAAGATAGGTAGGGGAGCTGAAGTGCCCCTGCAGTCATAAATGTAGGCAGGCTGCCAAGTGCCTGAATTTTGATCATGTGACCGTGGGGGCGCTGCAATGGCCATAACTTCAGATGCCAGTCATAAGTCGCTTCGTTCAGTGCTGTCGAAACTTTGAATGATTGCTAAACGAATGGTCGTAAATCAAGGACTACTTGTAAATTATGCTGTAGTATATAATTATGCTGTTACTTGCCTTATCAAGAAGTAAACTGAATTTCTGGGCTCAAAGAACACCTTGTAATGTCACTATGTACTTTCTGGGAGTATATTTTTTAAAATTAAACAGAAATTCATTATGGAATAAGATCCAAAAAGTTTCTATTGCAGTTCAGTAGCTCCCAAAAATGAGCACAACTTAACACTCTTCTATACACGTGTGATCTTCATTGCAATAAGATACCTGTTTAATGTCATCTATGATCCCACTTTATACATATCTTATTTTTTTCTGAATAATTTTTGTCCAATCCAAAGACTCCAAGGCAGGCCTCCTTTAACCAGATTTCAGTAGTTTTATCTATACCATTATTAAAGACTAATCAATGTTATAACAAATTTGTCTACAGTCAGCTTTTTTATTAAATGCTATGTTTCTCAAGAAAAAAACTGTTTTATCTTTTCAACTTCCACTACAAAGCTCAAACAACTGCTTATGAGTTTTCTTTCTAGTTTTATCTAAAATGGGTTTTGTAAGCACAGCGTGAAAGTTAATTTTAATTAAAAATAAGAATCTGAAGATATGACTTACCAGTTACATCATCCTCTGAATAATCTTCTGCTTGAACAGGAACTTCTGTAATTCAAAGATTTTTTAGTCAATTATTATGACACAAGTTTACAGACTTTTTTACAATCTCTTAGGATTGTCATAATACCTTTATTTCTCAGAACTGAAATGGTGCAAATATATTTAGGCTCTGCATGGCAAAGAAAGGTAAAATTCTGCCAAAATTGGGATGATTCAAATAGGATGAAATTCCTACACAGAAAGGAAATGATCCACAGATAGATCACCATATTTAACAGTTATTCCACAATGGCCATGCGCTACTATTTACATTCAAGCTGCAATTTTACTGCTCAGGGACAACTTGTATTGTATGTAGTTTTGTTGCTTAAAAAGTAACCCTAATATAGTCATGAACTAAAAGGAATGCAACCACTGTTTTCAGAATTTTTCTTTAATAATGGATATTACACCATTCACAAAAAGTTGATTTGTGCATTTATGAATGTACAAAATGGAAAAAATACAACCCTACTAGAAAGCAAGATTAATAATTTTCTTTAACATGATTTTTCTTCAGAAGACATTTGGATTATTACTCTTTTAACTTAAAAGCTATACTGCCAAATTAGATAGCAACGATAAACAATCTTCAAAGGAATACTGGACACCGTAAATGTATGAAAAGCTAGTGAGTAACTATGCATGTTTCATTTTTAAAAAAAAAAACTTTGTTATAAAATAATTCTGCTCATGCCATGTAAATATAAAAGCAGAAAATATATTTACATATCTTTGTAGCAGTTTTGGTCACATCCATATGCTATTATATACAATGTACTAGTTTAAATGGGCAAATATTGTACTAACCTGTCTCATGTGGTTGAGCAGCCACATGATCCTCTGTATGTTTCTTCTCATGTACTATAAACAAGTTGAAAGAAATATATGGTGTCTTAAAATTATGTATGCTTGCTTCTTGAAATAGACTCAGTAATTTCAATAAAAGAAACTGATGTTTAATATGGATTACAATATATGTAACCTTATTCTGAAATTATCAGGGATAGATTAATCAAAAGATATAGATTGTAGTGAAATAAATAATAAGGGATACCCAATGTTTATTAGTTGTTCATGGAAATCTAAAATACAGAGAGGTAATATTGAACATTATATTCAGGTGTTCCTGAATTTCTCTACTCTTGGATTTATAATCAGTATATCACATGGCTGCTTTCAAAATCACTGGAAATCAATGTGGATGATGTTCTATACTTCTTACACAATAAGGGAATATAAAATGCAAGTGCCACGAATTTTTCTAAAATTTAATTCTTATCATACTATTACTTTCTGTTTGTACTAAGGCAGTGAGCTATCATCACTGGATGTTTTTGCTGATAAATATTTTCTTAAAGGTAGCTTGACTTCAGTAATAAGCAATAAGTGATCTTTATTCAAAGGTCAGCTCTTGAGGCATTAAAAATATGCAAACATTTACCAAGCAGACACAGAATCAGCACAATAAATACATTTTTAAAAGTGCATGCTATCTTTTCAGTAATGTATACACACAGTTCTTTAAATCAATTTTTAGAATACTGACCTTCCATAAACAAGCAAATATGAACCAACTGCTTCTATGTCTGATTATTTTAAAACAAAATGGATAAGTTGACTAGTAATGATTATGGCATGATTTGCCTAATCATGTAACATGAGATTGAATACAAAAGAGAAGACAATTAGGAACCATAAAGCCCCAACAAAGATAGGGGTCTGGTCTACTGGCTCATATAGCACCTTTAGCATTAGCAGAAACTAAAAGATTCAGCGGTCAGGTGGGCATGGGAATTTTAAATGTTCCATAACATTTAACATATGCATAGGCAATGGAAAATGAAATGGTGGGTAGGAAATGTGATGCTAGTTTCTCCCACTCAATCCCTTGCTGTTAAAGTGACTAATACACATTGTTCCCTGCTGGCCTTCTCTCCACTCAAATTTCACCCTCTTTCTGCTCCTTTATACATATTGAAGATTGGGTCCCAGGGCTAAATCTCTGCAATAATCTGACTCATGCCAAATAGTTGGCAAAAGAATACAATTTCATATATAATCTGCTTTCAGTAAACACATTACAAATTTCTGTCTCTTAATTCATTCAGATAGCTCTAAAGTCAAGGCATAAATTTGCTGTTTTTTTCTGCTTTTCCTGACAACTCATAAAGAGGGATATGATACCCTCTTTTTTCCCACCCAAGTAAGGATTAACTGCAAATTTATTCCCAAGGACTTCACACATAATAATTGGAAAATCCATGCTTATTTACAAACATTCAAACAGATAAAACAGAAATAGTTATCAAGTAATATACAAGTGTTATCCAAATAACTGCAGGGCTTGCCAGAGGATAACTGAACTCGGATAAAACTGTCAAAATGTGAAAAATGTCTATCTCCATTGATTCCAAATTATACAGTAAAGTTTTCTTGCAGTACTGCACTCATTTATTCCAAAAATGTTTATATAAAACTGCATATAAATAAACTTAACAAAACTTTTACACTAATTAATAATTTCAATTCCAATTTTTTTTATCTTAGATAATTCATGATGGATATATACCTGATTTAATAGGTTCAGTAACAGAATCTGGACCATCTGCATTACCTAAGGAAGCAATAACATCTCTAGTAATAAATTATATAACATAGAAGTAGAACAGCTAACTTAAACGGAGACTAATTTAGATAAGTTATGGAAAATTCTGAAGACGTATTTTAACAATGATTCTTCTTTGGATTCTTTCTGAAGTTAATAAGGTCGTGCTTTTGCCATCCAAAATGGCTAATGTGGCCATTAAGTTTTTTCCTGATACTTTTAGTGGTAATATTTAATTTATAAAGCTGCACATCTAAAATATATGACTCTGGACAGCTTACAGCATTTACAAACATTATAAACAACAGAATACATTATAAAAATATATTGTTTCACTTTTTACTAATATATGTAAAAGACTTTACATTTGGCCATAATTTTCATCTCAGCTTGTTTAAACAAGTAACAGCAGGAAAACCAGTGCCTGTCATGGTGATTATCCAGTTTAAAGTTTATTCAACAATCCTTTTAAAAAAGGAAATTTCATTTATTTATCAAAACTTGAAGCACTCAAATAATTCAACATGTTGAACAATCATCTATTGCTGGTAAGAGAAATAACTTTTTTTTCCACAACGGGGTTCCATTTTGGGGGTCGGGGAGGGATGGGATGGGATGGGGATTTGTACAGTTCTACAGCTAACTTCAAATCTTTAGTTTATTCCTGTTCTACGTTTTCTTTCTTCCTGAACCACTGGAAAGAACCACCAATGCTTTCAAGGAACATTCGTTATTTATTTTCTTTTTGTGTAGCTCTATCTGCATGCCTACTTGAAAATACAGCCTATTAAATTTCACGAGGCTGGACTTCTGGGGAAGAAATGGTGAACTGAGCAGAGCCGACGACTGCGGCAGAATGAAGAGCCAGTGAGTAGCTTCCTACTTTTTAATCTCAATTCAGTATGCTGCTACTGACATGTAAAGTTCTCCATGGCTTGTACCAGAATACCTGAAAGGCCACTACTGATACAAGTACCTGTGCATACACTCATCTATGTTGGGATGGGTCGCTAAAGAGCAATAGCCTATACAGTCGTGAATATCAACTATGGAATGCAATGGTTGCAGTCCCATCTAGATTTTTTTATCTTTCCCAAGCAATTGCCCCTGCAAACTAGGTATCATTTGGTTCTTGTTCCTCAGGGATCAAAATATATTTGGCTACCTATAGTGTATGTCAGTGTCAGTCTTACCTGCTTTGCTTGTGTGAATCTTTGCATTAAAAGAAGATGGGAGTAACCATGTCACTAATCTCTTTGGACCAAAGAATGAAAGCTGCAAAAGAATATTTCCTAATAACGTATTGCCCTAAAATCCCCAGAAATAAAAACGACAATTTTATACTTACTTTCAGGTCTTTGTTCAATGTGATCAATTGATTCTGTAGATTTATTGCAAGAAAAAAAAACTTTGAGGTTTTAGGAAAACAAAGTTAGCCAAATAAAAACACTTCTGCATGTAGCTTATTTAAAAGTGCATGTAACTGTAGCTGGAAACGCTTTATAAGTAGAGCTTTTGATTGATTATATTTTTGAGGTTTGAATATTGTATTGCTTCTACTGATCCCCTTAAAATGTTATTATGTTTCTACTTGGAAGATAGTACTGTTCAAGAGTCCTTGCTTACCACTGTATTCAATAGCTGTTTTTACATATTTTATATTTAATGTATATGTTTTATTTCACTTTATACATCCTCATAAGAATCCTTAATTAACTGAAGTTTCCTATACTTACTGTATACAGCATATACAAAATATACATATACAGTCATCATACTAATATTAAATAGGTAAGAATATGTACAATTTCCTGTTTGGCTGTGCTTTTTGTGTTTTTTTTAAAATGTAGGAGTTGAAAGTAAGCATTGCAGCTGCTGCTAAGTAGGGTACCTGCAATCCAGCAATAAATGTTTCAGTAACAGCCACAATTCTTTGTTCTAATTACAGTAAGTATTATGTTATCACTTTGCCTATTTTTATAAGAATGTTCAATTAAATGTTCTGTATCTGAAATAAGACTACCATTATAATCTACTTGAAAAGAAAATACAGATACAGAATTCACAGATGAAGAAAATGTGTTCTATGCTGCATAAACAGAGACTGCATATATTAAAGCCTGAGACTCTTACAAAGATGTAGTTGAATAACATGCAGGAAAGGAATGGATTCAAGAGGCCACAATTTGGAACAGAACAGATTTGCATAAAAAAAATTACATTAAAAAATTGGTCATCAGTGCTCTGTTTTATAAATTTACAAATAAAATATAAATCAATTATTAGAATTATAGCAACAGAACAGTTCCTATATTGAAAAAATGCTGATAGTATTTATCTGATTTTCTTGCAATTGAAAATCTTTCAGGAAAAAAACCTTTTTTTTCTATGTGAGTAAAATCACACATGAAAGACTCAATGAACTCCCAATTTTTGAAACGGCAGAGGAATGCATTAAATACATTTCTGGCCAATTTACATCCAAATGTTGAAAAGACTAGAGACAATTACATAAGGATTTAATGCACAGTAGGTAAGAATCTACATACCTGTATCCTGAGTTTCAGTGAAGTCTTCACTCTCTAATTTAAAAAAAGATTGCATAACTTAAAATTAAACACTGAGTGGCACAATTGTTATGAATTAATGTTTTCTATTGTTACAGACAAAGTAGATCATATGTTAGAAACATAAATCTTTATGTCAATGCCATTTTCATTTGTTTCATTATTTACAAGAATATGTTAAGTCATACATCAAAAGCATAGTGTCTGCTCTATGGACTCTGGAATAAAGAATGATAGATGCCATTTACCTGTGTCAGTTTCAACTTATTTCATGGCAAATTGGGATTCTTTGGGAAAAAGTGGAGAGGTACCAATATCTTTGGCCGCTTCTGTATTTCTAGTTGGTTTGGCATGGGAATTTATTTGCACTGACATATTAGGTTTTGCAAACTTGATGAGCCAGCCCTTTCCTACCCACTCAGTGCTACATGCATTGTTTCTCTGCATCTCTCCCATGTGTGTAGCAAACAAAACAGATCTCCATCAACATAAGATACCAATCAGCTGGAAAGTGTCTATGTAAACATGAAATAACCGCAGAATTTATATACAGCCAAATGGGGTAATACTTTGGGAAAGCATAAGCAAGCTAGCATTTACTGAAAGAGTCTTAAAATATGGTTTCATTTGTTTGATATGACAGACGAGTTATGAAAAACAATGCCATGCTGATAATCGCTGTTGAAATTTTATTAGAAAGTCATGAAAAAACATACCAAATTCATCTACATAGTCATGCTGTTCTGTATCTTCTGGAAAAGATTCTGCAAATGAACAGAATAGTAAGATTTGTAAGAAACATGGTGCTATGTAGTCTTGTTTAGGATCTATATCCTATCAGAGGCAGATATAACAAAAGATGAACATCATGACTCCGTTAAGTATCATACTGACTCCTGAAGGGCTGAAAGCCACTGTTTTTTCACGGACACGCTCCTTACTTGTACTCACTACTCAGATGTGTTACAGTATTGATTGCAATTATTATCTTTTGTTGAAACATGTAAAATAATTTTCTCCCCAACTGCCAGTTACCATTCCAGATACTTATACATAGTTTCACATTACTAATAAGTAACTGTATAGATTTCATTTATTTCCATTTGATTCAGAAAACTGGAAATGGCCAGAATCCTTGGAGTAGCCCAAAAGACTGAGTGCGCATGCTGTCTTTCCTGCTAAGTCACATTCTTTCAAGGAAGAAAGAAATTATCACAATTTTATGATACCATGAAGTATCTTTTGGTCCCCCAAAGGTGGACCTGTCAAGAAAAAAGGAACTCCACATCTTCAGGCTTAAGACTTCTTCCTAATCTTTGGAGGAAGCAACCTCCCTTAAACTGCATGCACTGACTTCAGGACTCTAGTTTAACTTCTTCACTCACTGTAATAACAAAAAAAACTTGCTACTGACATAACACACAGGAATGGGAACATGAACAATTCTCTCTTCCACATTCTTTCCAACTTTTTTTTGTTGTTGTTCTCCCTCTTAAGATGGAGCTGAGAAAATTACAGGCTGAAGTCAGTGCATGCAACTGAAAGGAGTTTCCTCTAAATTCAGGAAGAAGTATTAACCCCAGCCTCCTAGCTAGAAGAAGTAGATTTAACCTTTTTCTGTCAGCACCATCTTTTGTGACCAAAAACAAGCAAGATACTCATTATGCTAGGTCATTTAAATAGAAAAGTCAGACTATACAATTAAAGGAAGTAAAAAGAAAACTTTTTCTTGACAAATCTATTATGTATACTCTTATAATTTGTTGTTACAAATCATGTTCCTTAAAGATGTTATATGAATATAAATCAGACATACCTGGGATTTCTGGCTCATATGTGCCTTCTTCCACATGAGAATCTTTGTTTGAAACTGAAAATTAGGAATGCCATATTATATTAATAAAACCCAATAATATACTGCCAGGACAGGAGATGCTAAATGTTGCTGCTGCCAATCTCTAGTTAAAAGTCAAAGAATTCAGGGAAATAAGGTAATGAGAAAGAAATATGTGTTTGATACAGATATAGTAATGTTTATAGTATATCCAATGAAATTAGTGAGACAAAACATGACTAATCCATATTGGAGCAGAACTTATATGAGTCCAGTTTCCTGGAAGAAAATATTCCACAAACACTTATATAGTTATATTGAATTGTCCGGTGCACTAGTACTCACAGTATCAATTCCATGTATGTGAGATTCGAGCACTGACAAATCTTGCATGGACAGCCCATGTGTGTGTGCCTTTTCCTAGTCTATTAATTAACCTTTTCTCAGTCATAAATTTCACTTAAAATAACATAAAAGTAAATTGATTTTAAGTTGTAATTAAGTTGTTGAAACTTTTATCAAAACTTTAGATGAATGTATTCACTTTTTCTCAATATGAAACTTTTCACTGAATGTGTTGAATACAATTTGCGGTTCACATCTGCATTCATTACTATGTCACTCTGTGCCACTACAAAGCAGTTATGAAAGACAGATACCATCAGTGTCAGCATCATCTACTTCATGATCTCCGGGCTGGTAGGGACTTGCAGGTTCTGAAAGTAAAAGGTTTCTTTTTAAATACATACAAAGATTACAGAAAATACTGCCAAATTTCAGATTTACTAAATTAAACTCTAGGCACAGACAATATACTGGTGTTAGAATTCAAGGATTGTGAATGAGTCTTAGAACTATGCAAGTTTTCTTGCAATCCTTCTTTTCTTGCACTCTCATGTCTTTATCTAAGTGTAAAATCAATTCAAGCATGAGTTTAAACCTGTGCAAGGGCCCTCCTGGCCACTGCTGCCACCTGCTCTTTGAGCAGTAGCTGCGAGTCCAGAAGGACCCCCAAGATGTGCACCAGTCTTGAATGGGGAAGCACAGCCCCATCCACGACCAAGGATGGTAACATCCCTCACCCTGGGGGTCCAAACAGCCCCAGCCAGTCTTGTTAGGATTGAACCGAAGTCTGTTTTGCCTCATCCAGACTCAATATATGCTAATATATACGGTGTGTGTGTGTGTGTGTGTGTGT